TAATTGTTTTTTTTTTTTTTCCCACACTGCAGGCTTTTAATTTCCTCCATTGAGGCCACATTACCCAGGTCTACATTTCCTCAGCAAGTTCTGACACAGCACGTTGTCATTTCTACCCTTCCTCAGTTTGCCGATCCCCAAAATGGGAGTGCTATTTCTCCTGTGCTTCCCAAGGCGGCTGCACCCAAGCCTAGACAGTCTTGGACAATCTTAGCAATAAAGAAGTATGGCCAGCCTGGGTTCTGAGGTTATTTTAATGGGCAGTCAATTAGACCCACCAGAAAGGTTAGAGGCTGCAAGCACACACCATACCTTATCACATCCTCCCAAACAGCCTATTGGCTCAGCTTTATCTCGTATATATTTATATATGACACACACACACACACACACATATATATATATATATATATTCCAAATATATATATATTCCAAATGAAAATTCTGATTTACTCTGTGGAACACTGCCATCCACAAGAGCAATTTTCCAAGTGACATTTTGAGCAAACAGAAAAGATGGGTGCTCTCTGACCCGCTGTCCTAAAGCCAGGGGCTGACCTGAGACTCCCACCATGATGTACAGACTCAGTAACCTCCTTTGCCTTGCGTTGAGATGAGAAACTTCATCTCTGCAACCTCAGCCTTTAAAAGCAAACCAGCAAACAGTGGCTTCCATTTATTAGACCTGTGGGAAGGGTTTTATATTAAACATGGGACATCAGACGATGAACCCAGAGTGTAAAGAGAGGGGTGGCTTTGGCTCAGACACTGTTGATATTTGGTGTCCTGGGCCCTGTGTCCGAGTCCCGTTCCCCCACCCCCGGTGTAATTGTTGCTGCTTTTCCCTTTTGGTGCACGGCACTGGGCCTAGAAGGTCTTCTCAACGGAGTGGAGCGGCGGCTTTTTTTTAAGACCCAGGCTCTGATTACACCTGACAGAACTGAAACTGGTCTCTGGCACAGCTCAGCAGAGCCTTATCTTCTCCCACCAGCCACTCACTGGAGGAATGTCACTGACCGAGTCACTGTGGTTCCCCTTTGTGCACTGCCTGGCATGGCAACATGAAAACAAAACCAAAAAATTATTTTCCCCTTCAAATTAGCTCCAAGGTGACTTCTTTCCCTTCCTTCCTTCCTTCCTTCCTTTGGTTCTTTCTTTTTTCTTTTTTTTTTTAAAAATAGGTCATCACCAAAGGATTTCTTCTTGAGACTAATCTTAATGTTTCTGCAGAGAGTCTCAGAGTTCACGAATAATCACATTTCATAAAAACCTGCCTGAGAAAAGGATTCACATAACCTGGGCCATGGCAGTGATTTTGTGGCATTTGGACTCACGTCTACAAAAATATTTGCACAAGAGATGGGGAATTGTCGGGTGCATTCATCCCAAACATTCGCACACATAAAACCCTGTAGGGGAAGAAAAATCATCACTGTTTTTTTCCCATCAGTGCCACATGAGTGATGGTTTAGCAACACCTAGAACGAGAAGATTGCTGGGTCGAAACTGACGCGCACAGTCAGGTATAAAAACTTCAAGCAGCGCTGAAGCTATTTTCTCTCCCTAAAGAACGCATACCTCAAGTGCAGCTCACTTTAACAGCTCACTAACTACACAGTTTCTAAACTCCAAAGTCATGGGCCTGCCTGGGCTGCTCCATCATCCAGCACCCGCTGCCAGCTGGCGGAAGCTAACACCCGGGAGATAGCTCAGTTAGAGTACATAGGCATGAGGACCTGAATCCAATCTCCAAAAGCCATGGAAAATAGTGGGGTGTGGTGGAAACATACTTGCAATCCCAGTGCTAAGGACGAAGAGATGGCTGGGTTTGCTGGCCAGCAGCCTAGCCTAAGGAGAAAGCTCCAGACTGATGAGAGATTCTGTCTCAGTGAGCAAGGTGGGTGAGAAATGACACCCAAGGTTGACCTCTGGCCTCCAAACGCATGAATATATTTTACGTGCATGCATGCACGTCAAATCACCTTGCAGGTGACACTGTCTGAACTGAGAGGGACCCAGTTAGATACTGAGTCAACAGCCTACTGCCCAGTCATAAATCCAATATGGCTTCTCTGCAGGTTGACTTCAGGTTTTTGTTGTTCACTTTGATGGTAGAGACTAGAACTCAGAGTCTTAAGCATGTTAAATACCACTCAGTCACATCCTTAAGCCCTTGATTTTGGTTTCAACAATCAGTTCTCAGCTATCTGCTTTACAGGCTGGGGAGGCATATAAAGGCAAAAACAGAACAGTAAGAGAAATTGAATTTATATTTGCCTGGGGGAGCAAATGCTACGTTGGTGGGAGGGCTGTTTCTGATGTAACAGACCACTCAACAGGCCCTGGTTGCCCCGTGAGAGCGAAGAGGACTGTTTGCTGGAGAGAATCTAGCCCTTGCCCACGGGTACACTTTAGTCTGTATCTTTCCAAGGATGGGTCCAGGCAGGTGTCAGGCTTGTTTGGATCCTTGGTTTTTACAAGTGAATACCAAGCTCTTATGTGCAGCCCTGTGTCTAGGCGGTACTACAGAGTTTCGACATGTGGCTGCCAAAAAAACCTCATCCCTGACGTTAGTGATGCTCACTCTTATGTGAGCTGATGGGCAATGTGACATTTAGAGAGGAATGTAGTTCTGTGCTTTTTGGTTTTAACCAGACATTTACTTACTTTGTGTGTGTGTGTGTGTGTGTGTGTGTGCATGTGTGAGTGTGCACATGCACACACACATGTGCAGAACTACATTTAAAGTCAATGAGTTTCCACTAGCTGTTTGCTGTGTGTAAATCAAGGGGCCTCGAGTTAGCACTGATTGTCAAACTAAGACCCTTCACAACTAAGTTCTTCTAAGCGACAAAACGATGCGACTCAAGTACGCTATCTTTTAGTTGTATGAGTTGATCCAGGATTAGATTTAAAATGCCTAAAACACTTGAATGACTGGGGCCAGTGAGATTGCTCAGTGGGTAAAGGTGCTTGCTGCCACCAAACCTGGTGACCTGAGTTTGATCCCTGAACTCACGCGGTAGAAGGAGAGAACCAGTTCCCATAAGCTATCCTCTGACTTCTAAAAGCATGCCATGGTATGTACAAGTAAGCATGCACGCACACACTCATTGACTTTAAATGTTATTCTTGACACTAGTGACCCAGGAACAGTAAATGTGCGTTGAGAGAAAACTAGTTCCTTCTGGTCAAGAGGTTGAAATCCCCCCCACACACACACATTTCAGGTTGGTAGAACAATCACCCTGCCAAGGGACCACCCCTCAGAAAAGCAGGCCCACCTCTAGGAAGGCAGGCTTGCTAAGAGCTATGCTAAGGATATAGGCAGAATAATTATCCCTTTTTTTGTTGTTGTTGTTTTGTTTTGTTTTGTTTTTCGAGACAGGGTTTCTCTGTGGTTTTGGAGCCTGTCCTGGAACTAGCTCTTGTAGACCAGGCTGGTCTCGAACTCACAGACATCGGCCTGCCTCTGCCTCCCGAGTGCTGGGATTAGTGAGGTGTGCCTTTCCTTCCCAGAATCCCCACCCCGTAGGCCAGTCTGTGTGAGCTGCTGTGAGGTTCACTGAGTCTGTCTGCCTAAGGGTGCAACTTTCCTCTTTTCTCTCTTCTGAGTCTCTCTGAAGACAGGCCAGACCCTAAGTGTGCTTTTTTTCTGGAACTCTTTCCCTAAAGCCTCCCTCCCTGCCATGTTGCTGTCTGCCTGCTGCTAGGTCGCTAGCCTCCATGCCTGCTCAACTCCAACAACACGGCCTTTTTCTCCCCCTTTCCTCCACTCTTCTCCTGTAGGCAGCTGCTGAGACTTATGGCATGCCTGTCCCAGGGGTTTTCTGTTATAGTCCATTCTTAAAAATTCTTTTTATTAATGAGCTAAGAACCTCAAGAGGGGACCCCAGTTTTCCGGGTATCACCTAACGGCAGAAAAATGGTTGTCCAGAGAGTTCCAGTAACACCAAAGTTCCTTCTGAGGCTGCATGGGAAATTTTTTTCCCTACTCTCTAAGCTCCTGGCCTCTGGATGTATTTTACAAAAGACTGTGGGTCCCATAACTGGTCTGTTTCCTTCCTCTCACCGTGCCAAGTCTGTGGTCTCTTCAGTAACCACTGTGTTTTTGTGGTTGGAATTTCTGCCTTGCTCTTATTTTTCTTTGTTCTGATTAATTTCTTTTGATTCAATTATGTTGTTGGTTTTAATAGATCACCTAGGGTGTATTTTGAAACCAGACGGGGATTAAGTGGAATCTTCACATTATTGAAATCATTCTTATGGCATTTTCTAAGCAAACAGCAATAAGCTGCACCACACTTGCTGATCGAGACTATCACTGGCTCGATGTCTTGGACACCTATGATAAAAGAGAGACCAGTAAGAGAAATCATATATATTTATTTACTGTAAGTTTTATATAAACCAGACGTAGCATGATCCTGGTACTCAAGAGGCAAGAGGTTCACTACAGGTGTGAAAACAGCATGTCTACATAGTAAGTTCTAGGGTATGTTGTGAGACCCTCTCTCAAAAAAACCACATGAGAAGTGGCTGGGGAGATGACTCAGTTGGGTCTGAGATCAGAACTCTAGCACCACATAAAAAGTCAGGCACTGAAGCCTGTGGTTGTAATTCCAGTGCTAGACAAGAAGAGGCAGGAATATCTCTGAGGTTTATTGGTCAAGCGCTCTAACCCATTAGTGAGCTCCAGTTTCAAAGAGAGACCCTGCCTGAAAATACGAGGTGGAGAGCAATTACAGAATAAATCTCACACCAACCTCTAGCCTTTATACATGTATACCTCCCCACATGAACATGTACAAATACACACAATGGGGGAGGGGAAGAGAAGAGAAGAGAAGAGAGAGAGAGAGAGAGAGAGAGAGAGAGAGAGAGAGAGAGAGAGAGACTTAAAAAGAAGAAAAAGCCAGGCGGTGGTGGTGCACGCCTTTAATCCCAGCACTTGGGAGGCAGAGGCAGGCGGATCTCTGTGAGTTCGAGACCAGCCTGGTCTACAAGAGCTAGTTCCAGGACAGGCTCCAAAACCACAGAGAAACCCTGTCTCGAAAAACAAAAAACAAACAAACAAAAAAGAAAAAGAAAAACCCAACCAAACAAAACAAAAACAATTTTGCTGGAAAGAGACCATTTGGAAATAAAAATTTGAAGAAATAAGGAAATCTATGTATTTTTATGTTGCTCACAAAGAAGTCTTGTTGAATTCTACCTGGAT